TCTAATTTATGTACATAATAATTGAAAGCATTTTTTAAGAGCAAAAGCCTTCAATAAATTCCCTCTTAAAATTTTTGAGATTATTAAAGGCGTTTTCTAGTGAAAAACGCCTTCAATTTTTTACTACTCTAATTTTGAAACAATTAGTGGAGGCATTTATTCTAGAAAAATGCTTTCACTAATTTCTTCTAATTTATGTATATAATAATTGAAGGCATTTTTTGAGAGCAAACGCCTTCAATAAATTCTCTCTTAAAATTTTTGAGATTATTAAAGGTGTCTTTCAATGAAAAACGCATTTAATTTTTTACTACTCTAATTTTGAGACGGTTAGTGAAGGCGTTTATTCTAAGAAAATGCCTTCACTAATTCCCTCTAATTTACGTACATAATAATTGAAGGTATTTTTTTGAGAGCAAAGGCCTTTAATAAAATTTCTTTTAAAAATTTTTGGGATTATTAAAAGCGTTTTTTAGTGAAAAATACCTTCAATTTTTCACAACTCTAATTTTAAGATGATTAGTGAATGTGTTTATTCTAGAAAAATGCCTTCACTAATTCCTTCTAATTTATGTATATAATAATTGAAGGCATTTTTTTAGAATAAACGCCTTCAATAATTTTCTCTTAAAATTTTTGGGATTATTAAAAGCATTTTTCGATGAAAAATACCTTGAATTTTTTACTACTTTAATTTTGAGACCGTTAGTGGACACATTTATTCTAGAAAAATGCATTCACTAATTTTCTCTAATTTACGTACATAATAATTAAAGATGTTTTTTTAGAGCAAACGCCTTTAATAAATTCTCTCTTAAAATTTTTGGGATTATTAAAGGTATTTTTCAGTGAAAAACGCCTTCAAATTTTCACTACTCTAATTTTAATACGGTTAATGAAGGCGTTTATTATAGGAAAATGTCTTCACTAATTCCCTCTAATTTACGTACATAATAATTAAAGGCATTTTTTGAGAGCAACCACCTTCAATAATTCCTTCTTAAAATTTTTAAGATTATTAAAGGCGTCTTCCAGTAAGAAACACCTTCAATTTTTCATTACTCTAATTTTGAGACAATTAGTTGAGGCATTTATTCTAAAAAAATGCCTTCACTAATTCCCTCTAATTTATGTACATAATCATTGAAGGTATTTTTTGAGAGCAAACGCCTTCAATAAATTTCTTCATAAAATTTTTGAGATTATTAAAGGTATCTTCCAATGAAAAACGACTTAAATTTTTTACTACTATAATTTTGAGACGGTTAGTGAAAGTGTTTATTCTAGAAAAATGCCTTTACTAATTCTCTCTAATTTATGTACATAATAATTGAAGGCATTTTTTGAGAGCAAACGCCTTCAACAAATTCTCTCTTAAATTTTTTGGGATTATTAAAGGTGTCTTTCAGTGAAAAATGCCTTCAATTTTTCACTACTCTAATTTTGAAATGGTTAGTGAAGGCGTTTATTCTAGAAAAATACCTTCACTAATTCCTTTTAAATATTGTACATAATTATTGAAGGTGGTTCTCTGCTAAAAATGCATTCAATAATTTTTGTTCAGAATTATCAAAGGCATTTTTTTAGAAAAAATGCTTTTAATAATAAATTTTATATTCATTCCCTGTCTTGGACATCAGAATCACACCTATTAGTACACAAAATAATTAAAAGCTGTATTAATCAATCAAACTAAATCCACAAACACATTTCTATCAGACTTTTAGTTTCTTTATCCCTATTGTTGCCATCAACCTTCAACAAATCAATGACGCACATCTCTCAATTAACCGATATGTCTTTATAATTTATGTTTATTGTATTATTTATATTATTCGATAGAGCTTTTTTTTTTTTGTCGGTTCCTTACTATTTACATATTGATATATATTTTTATTAATTTCACTGTAAGCATAGTCGTACAAGCACCTATCATTGCATGTATGCTATTTTTGTGTAATTTTCTATTAGTAATATGGTTTGCTGAACCTTGTTATGTGATATTGTTTTGCCTGATGGTATTGTATGATATTGGTATACTGAATCGTATACTGAATGGTTTGCTGAATGCTATTTCTGAATGGTTTGTTAAATAGTATTTTTGAATGGTTTGCTGAATAGTATTTTTGAGTGATTTGCTGAGGGGTGTATTTGAGCACATTGCTGATTGTTTGCTGAATGGTGTTTCTGTACATAGTATGGTATTGTTTGTATTTAATTACAAACATTGTTAAATTTAAACGGTAATTTTATGTAATCGTATAATTATGATCAAAATCCTAGGTATTATGGACTCCGAACAATATCATTCTCCTTCTATTGAATATTTCAAAGACACACCTATAGGCCAAAAAAGAAAGGAAAGGGGCTTAAATAAACAAATTAAAATGAGTGACATAAAAATACACGTTAACTTTAATCAAAGTGGACAGCCTGTGTCTGAAGAAGCTGCCAAGATAGCTACTCATATTAAAGCTGTCGTTCGTTATAAGATTTCAATTACCTACACCGATTAACGATGAGTTTTTGATGATTTAAAAGATGATATATGACAGTTAGTTGTGGTATGTTTATTCAATTATTTCATAAAATTTATTAAATGATCATTTAATTGAAATTCAATGCCTTCAATAATCCCTTCCAAATTTTTATGAGAAATTATTGAAGGTGTTTTTGATAAAAAAATCCTTCAATAATTCCTTTCAAATTTTTTTCAATGGATTATTGAAGGCGTTTTTGGCAAAACAAATGCCTTTAATAGGGCCACAAATACCTTTAATAATTCTCTCAATAAATTTTTATGAAAGATTATTGAAGGGCCAAAAATGCATTTAATAATCCCCTTAATAAATTTTTATGAAAGATATTGAAGGTATTTTTGGTCAAAAACACCTTTAATAATCCTTTCTAAATTTTTTTAGAGGATTATTGAAGATATTTTTAGCTAAAAACGCCTTCAATAATCCTCTTCAAATTTTTTTCAAGGGATTATTGAAGGTATTTTTTACCTTAATAAATTTTTATGAGGGATTATTAAAGGCGTTTTTAGTAAAAATGCCTTTAATAATCTCTTTCAAATTTTTTTAGAGGATTACTGAAGGCACTTTCAATAATCCCTTCCAAAATTTGTTGAATGAATTATTGAAGACATTTTTGACTAAAAATGCCTTCAATAATCCCCTCAACAAAATTTTTTGCATGGATTATTGAAAGTATTTTTGGACAAAAACGCCTTTAATAATACCTTCAATAATCCCTTCTAAATTTTGTTGAAGGGATTATTGAAGACATATTTGTCAAAAACACTTTTAATAATCCCTTTCAATATTTTGTAAGCCAATAGTTTTTTTGTTTTAAGCCTACATTGACTGTTACATTAATAACTATCAGTATATAACATATTTATACAAATGCTTTCAATAATCCCATTCAATATTTTGTAAGCCAATGGTTTTTTTGTTTTAAGCCTACATTGACTGTTACATTAATAATCGTCAGTGTATAACATATCTATACTTATGGATAGTCAAATACCTTCATAAAAGGTTTATTTATACTGACAGTTAAATAAAGTGTTAGTATAAATATGGTATATTCTAATGGTATTAAAAATTTGTTAGTAAAAATATTGGTATAAATATGATATATTTTGACGGTATTAAAAATCTATCAGTAAAAGTCTCTTTTATTGACAAAATTTAACCATCAGTAAATAATCCATACAAAAAATTTTTTGTATGGATTATTAAAAGCATTTTTGATCAAAAATGCCTTCAATAATCCCTCTCCAAAATGTTTTGAATAGATTATTAAAGGCATTTTTGTAAAAAAAAACGCATTCAATAATCCCATTCAATTTTTTGTAAGCCAATAGTTTTTTTGGTTTTAAACCTATACTAACAATTACGTTAGTAACCGTCAATATATTACATATTTATACTGACAAATAGTCATGTATCATTAGAAAAAGTTTATTTATACCAACGTTAAATAAAGTGTTGGTATAAGTATGATATATTCTAACGATATTAAAAATTCATCAATAAAAATCTCTTTTACTAACAAAATTTGATCGTTAGTATAACCAACCATTAGTATATGAAAAATATTTTATCGTGCATGTTGTAGAAAATCATGTATTTCATCACTCTCGTTCTAGAAAACCTTGCATTCTCACCGGATGTTTTTCACGGATGTACTTGATTATTTGGTTTGATGTATTATATGGATTTTGTAATATTTATGTACTTTTTTGTATTTTTTAATTAAACTTTATAAATAATTTTGTAAAATATTATTATATTCTTTTATAAATAAAATGAAATATTTTGTTTATTTATTTTTCTATGCATATTTTAATATTTATTTAATTATTTTAAAAATAAATTAAAAAAACTAAAATAAAATAAATAAAATTATAAAAAAGTAATTAAATATGATTAAAAAATAAAATATTACCAATGGAAATAATAATTATAAAGTGATAAAATTTTAATTATTATTGCTAGAATTGTTTTGTAAAATTATCAATTAATTTTGAAACAAAAATTATTAAAAGTAATATATTAACGAAATATCGATGGATTATCGACGGATTTTACTGATAAAATTTATTGACAAAAAATTATTATCCACTTGTTTACTATTGATGAAATTTTTTTGTTGGTAATTTCATCTGTTACTAGCAAAAAATTTTATCAATAAAGATGATTTTTTTGGTAATATGAATTCTAATCTTAAAAATAGAAAACCAATTATCTTGCCAAAAAAAATAAAAACCTATTATTGTAATAGTTCTTCTCTTAACAGGTAACGGGCAAATTAAATTAAAACAAAAAAATTATGAAAAAAGAGAAAAAAAAAAAAAAAAAAAAAGAGACGTAATGCTGTTTAATAAAGGACAAAAACGGTTTTAGAAAAAAAATCCAAAAGACAATTTTCACCATAAGATAAAGGTAGCGTGTCAAACATTGCAAGCGATTCTACCTAATTCAATTGACGTCTGCGTTCATCCTTATCTCTTTCATTATAATAGAAAGGATTGCTATCTCGTTATCCTCCCTCGCCCTAAAGAAAAATGGAGCAAACAAGGTTAAAACAAATTCAAGAATCCAATTACGACAGGAAAAACAAATTGAAAGCTTTTGATGATACAAAAGCAGGAGTGAAAGGGCTTGTCGATTCTGGTTTGGCAAAGATACCAAGGATTTTCATTGATGAACGATACAATCTTGAGAGAAATGTTTATAACCAGGCCGATCCTGGCAACTCTAACATTGGTATCCCAATCATAGACTTCACAGGCATCGACGAAGATCCAAGTTTACGCAGTGGAATAGTGAAAAAAGTTGGAGAAGCTTGTCAGAAGTGGGGTTTCTTTCAGGTTGTAAACCATGAAATTCCTGTGACAACTTTGGATGACACGATCGATGGCATTCGCAGGTTTCATGAGCAAGATACTGAAGTTAAGAAAGAGATTTATTCTCGAGATTACACGAAAAAAGTGATTTATAATAGTAATTTGGATCTCTACCTTGCTGAAGCAACCAACTGGAGGGATTCTTTGACTTGTGTCATGGCACCTCGTCACCCTCATCCTGAAGAATTGCCTGCAGTTTGCAGGTACGTAAATACTGTTCATTTTGCTATGAACCTTTGCTTCTTGAAATTCGCTTTTAATAGATCAGGTGAATGCTCTTCTATTTCTTGACATTTGCTTAATTTCAAAGGATTTTTAACAATTCTTTTAAACAATTGTGCAATTTATTAATTTCTTAGTCTCTTAAGCCGTGGAGACAAGATTTTCTCATGGGACTGTGGGAAACAAGTATTGGCTCTCCAGATTCCTAGTGCTTGAGAATTGTAAAGAAACTGAACTTGGTCTGAGTAATCTGTGGGAATAAGACATAACAACTAATTAAGCAACTGATGAGAATGTTGCAATTCCATTGTTTCTCCTGTGATTGATTTGTCGTCCAGGAAATTTTTTTCCTCCATTGCCGCATTCTGTTCAAAATATTTCATGGTCTGCTACCTTGATCTGCAGAGATATATTGATAGACTATTCAGACAAAATAATGAAATTGGGCCGCACTCTGTTCGAACTGATTTCAGAAGCTCTAGGCCTCAACGGTAGTTACTTGGAAGATATTGGGTGTGCGGAGGGACTTTTTGTCCTTGGCCATTACTACCCACCATGCCCCGAACCACACTTCACTTTGGGTACTAGCAGCCACACTGATAGCAGCTTCTTCACTGTGCTTTTACAAGATCAAATTGGTGGACTTCAAGTCCTCCATGAAAATCAATGGATAGATGTTACCTCTATTCACGGAGCTCTTGTAGTAAATTTGGGTGATATGTTGCAGGCAAGTCCACCCTACTTTAACCTTCATTAAATCTAATTAATATGACTGCAAGTTCTTTTTGGCCTAATCAATTAATGCTCAAGTCCCCCCCCCCCCCACCTTAAAAGAATTATTATTATTATTATTATTATTATTTTTTATAATTGAGATTGTCGGGATTGAACCCTTAACACTAAAATAAAGAGTACAATATTTTATTTTTCTTTTGAAATATTTTAGATTCTCAATTCTAATATCTCTAGCATAATTATCAATTATAATAAATTTTGTGTGTTTTTATGCAGTTAATATCCAATGACAAATTCAAAAGCGTCCATCACAGGGTGCTTGCTAACACTCTAGGTCCAAGAATTTCAATAGCAAGTTTCTTTAGAACACATCTTCCCCCAGAGAATGCCTCAAGGCTATATGGGCCAATCAAGGAATTGCTATCCGAAGAAAATCCTCCGATTTATAAGGAAACTACTGTTAGAGACTATGTGTCAAACTACTACTCCAAAGCGCTTGATTGTACAACTCTTGAACATCTCAGGCTGTGATTAATGAGGTCTTGGATACATAGATAGAAATTGCTACTCGCTACTGCAAAATGATGTTCTGTATTTTCCCAGGATTTGTCGAAACTTTGAAGTGCCGATCATGTTCTTCTATATATTAGAGTTACTGTTACTTAAGGCAGAGCACCTTCCTTTGCATTGCATACTAGAATATAGTGAAATTTATTCTGTTTGACGTATTCAATGTAGTTTTTCAAGTATGGCTTTGCAATTCAAACAGCAAAGACTAAATTAGGCCATAATTGCTTGGGAATTTACAAGGTTAGATAAATTATAAATATTTTGTGAACATTTGACAAAAATAAAAAATTATATTTCGATGTTGTATACGTCCACGAACCACGAGCTGAGCAACTTGCCCTTGCTCTCAATTCCAAAGCCCATATATCCAACACTGGATGAATTTAGGCACCTGTTTTTTTATAGTTATGATTTTGGGCCTTAATTAGGTAAAGTTGATTCTTTTCTAACATCAAACGTATTAACAATCAATAATACAGGTGAAAAAGATATGAGAAAGATGTACAAGAGAAAAAGTAGAAGAAGAAGGAAGAAGCTAAGAGGGGAATGGAGTCTTTGCCTTTCCTCCTTATCTCAACGTCTTTTATAATACAATCTTCCTTCCATTAATTAAGGTAAGTAAATAATTAATGCCTATGATAATAATGAAACTAATTGTCAATACTTAATTTTGACAAAAAGACAATTTTTGACTTCATTTATAATACAATCTTCCTCCCTTTAATTAGGTAAGTAAATAATTAATGCATATGATAATAATGAAACTAATTGTCAATACCTAATTTTGACAAAAGGTAGGTAAATAATTAATGCCTATGATGATAATAAAACTAATTGTCAATATCTAATTTTGACAAAAAGGTAACTTTTGACTTTTTCAAAATATGACAATAATTGGATTGAATATATCTACCTTATCCCATCTTGTTGATACTGATTTTGTAGGTTATCTTATCTTTTTTGGATATTATCAAGATTTATTAATTTTTCTTCATTTAGATTAAATGACTGTAGAGAACTAGCCCTAATTTTGTTTCAAATATTCCATCTTTCTTGGAATTGAAATAATAAATGTTAAGGATAGTCTATGTCTTTCATTTTTTTTTATAATTTTTTCAAAAGATTCACTGCTTTTGATTTAGTTGGTGGTAGTCTTTTTTCATTGTAGGATCTTTGAATGAAGATTCTATGACCATCAGTTGTAGTAGAGACTTAAGGATATTGAGATTTTATTATTTTACAATGCAAGGTTTTTCCTTTGCTTATCATAGATATTTTTGTTTGAAATTGATATTGATTAAGAGATGAGAACTTTCTTAAAGCTTGATTAAGCTATTCAAAATTCTCATTAATTTTTTCAATAAGAGGTCCACCCATCAATTTTTGAATTTTTCATATTTGATAAGGTTGGATAAACCTATCAATTTTTGAATTTCTCATATTTGATAAGGTTGGATAAACCTTTCTCTTTGATAAATCCCTAAGAAAATGGTAATATTAAAATGAATATAGTAAAAATATTGATAATCTTTTATGAAATCAATAAATTTTGATTTAATAAAAGTAGGGAATTGTTTTATCAAGTGAAAAGAAAAATTTTTATAACTATTTGGCCTACTAATCCAATTTCGATACTTATTATATCGAGTGGTTCCTAAATTTTATTTTTAGAAAAGGGTTCTTTTATTCTAGTATTTTCAAGATATATCATAGAATTATCTTCTTAAGAATGATAATCTATAAATTTTTCTTGTAATAGTTTTTATATTTCAAGAAGAATAATACTATTTATTCTTTGAAATATCTCTTTGGGGAAAAAAATTATAGCTTTTTTAAACATTAAAATTTTCTTTAATTTTAATATTTTAGAAAAAAATATTTTGTTTTTCAAAGAATTCACAAAGTTTCAAGATATTGTTTATCTCTTCAAGGGAGTATTGATTTTCATCAATAGCAAAAAATTTGGATCTTGCTCTTTTAGCAAGTTACTTATACACATTATTTTGAATGCAAGTTCTTAAAATCGAGCTTGTTGTTCAGCTTGATGAGCTAAAATTTGTGCTAATTTTGTCATGTTTCTTCTAAATTAGTTTTTACTTTAAGATATATGAACTTTCCATACATTATTAAGTAGATTATATAATTCAGGAGATAAACCTGGATTACAAAAATATTTTATTTCTAGAGGAGGTTGTCTTAGCTTAAGTAATTCCTCAATTCTTTGGAGGACTTCAAAATATGAAATAGGTGTTCATTGGGTTGGATCCTACGAAATTGAAAAATATTTGGGATTTCAATAGGTTCCATTATTGATTGTAATAAAAGGTTGTGGAAAAAAATATATATGTCTAAATAGAATAAAGATATCCTAGATTAGGATAAGAGATTGGCTGTCTAAAAGGAGTAGGATACAATAATCCTAGATTAGGATTTTAAAAGGAAATCTTTTGTTTAGATTGCTTTTTTTGAATAGTGATCCATTGTCCTTGTTGCTTAAGAGGTTTTTTGCCTTTATCTATTTGGTTCGCTCAAAAAATCAGCTAGAATATTATTAAATCGTTTAACAAATTCAATAGAAAAATTATATTGGCATAAAAAATTATACCATCTAATTTTTCTAGGATTAGTTTCTAACTTCTTATTTTTTAATAAGTTTTTAACTGCTTAATTATCGGTTCTAATAATAAAATTTTTAAATGCTAAATAAATATGAAATTTTGTTACTGTATTTTTTATTGCTAGTAACTCCTTTTCAAAAATAATATATTTTATTTCATTAGGTTTAAATTTTTCTGAATTATAATCACAAATTCATTCTTGATTATATACCTTTGATTTAAATACACATCTTCAATTTTGATATGAAGCATTCGTTTCAAGAATGAGTAATTCCTTTAGTTTAGGAAGATATACTTTAGGTATAAATTTAAGATATGATTTTATTTGTTTAATAATATCAAAATTGTTTTTTGTCTAACAAAAGGTATATCCTTTTTTAGTTTTTCTTGTAAACTTGTTCTTTTTTAGATAGATTTTTAATAAATTATTTTCCAAATTGAAAAGTCCTAAAAAAATTTTGAAGTTATTTTTTATCTTCTAATTGTCCTGAAAATTTTTTTAATTTTTACTATATTATGATCTTATAAAGTATGACCATCTAAAAATAAATTTAATCTTAAGAATTTTATATTAGTTTTTTTTAATCTCTATCTTTTTAGGAGACACCAGTTAATATTTTTCTTTTATTTTTTGGCTTGAAGATCAATAATTAATTAATTCAACACTGAACAAGAAATAGTATTGGGAAATAGAGAAATTATATATGTATATGAAGTTTAAAGTTAAATATAAATAACTAAGTTTAAAAAAAAAAGTGAAATCTTTTCCTAATTTGTAACTTGTAAAGTATATAAATAAATTATGAAAAATTATTTCATCTAATATGTAGTTTTTAGATTTCATTAATAAAACTAATAAAATGATACATTTTTTTGAAATATATTAAAGAAATAAAAAAAGGTTAATTAAAAAAAAAGATATGCGTCATTCCTTTAATCTCATTTGTGGACAATATATAAAAATAAACTCATAAATTATTGATATAATTCTTTTTTATGTGTGTTGCTTATTATTGAAATTTAACTTTTTGTGACTTTATCAACTGAAGTGAAGGTATAGATTACCCATAAATCCACCTTCTAAATGGGCCTAAACTTGCATAGCAGAAAATCCTCTACTCTTTTTGTTGAAAGTCAAAACAAACCTTCATCTTCTCGTTAGTCATCAATGAGTAATCACTCATATTATACAATACTTGTGATGGGCTAGGGATGGCAATAGATATTTTATAATATGTAACTAACCTAATTAAGTAGGATTAAAGTATTTTATTACCGAGTTTGGTTAAAAGTTAGGTAAAAGTCTTAGGGTACTCACTATTTGAATTTGGTTATAAATAATAATTTTTTATTTTGAAATTTTTTTTTCAAAATTCTTAAATTTGTTTGATAGTATAGGACATAGAATTCACATAAACACTATTTACCAATAAAATAAAGAAGTTTTAACCTTTTGATGTATAAATTAAGACATCACAAATTTAAATATGATAAGAAAAATAAATAGAAATCTGTAAATTTAGACAAAAAAATTGGAAATCAATAATGAGAGAATTAGAGATTTGCATTAAAAAAATATATAAAAATAGAGAGTAAAGAACCAGGGTTTTAATTTTTAATCCCCGTTTGGTCTTTTAAAATCCTCAATTTAATCTTCCAGGTTCGATTCGTTTTGTAATTTTGAAATGAATCATTCTATTTACCTCATCCAACTTTTGTTTTAAATGTAATTTTTCATATGATATATAATTATTGGATAAATTCAAATATGAATTAAACAATTCATGGATAAATTAATTAATCCATGGATATTTAATCTAGGTAATTATTACAAAAAAATATTTTTTAAAATGAATTGTGAAATAAGAATATGTATTTTTTTTAAATCAAGTTTTTAATGAGTGCTTATAGATTATTATTATTATTATTATTATTATTATACTTGAAATATCCTATATGAATATATAAAAAAATCTTTAACAAAAATGATCAATGTAGATGCTGTATATTATTAACATATAAATATTATTGAAAATTTATTATGTGTCCTCTATTAAATGCAATTATTTTATTTTAATTATTTTTTGAAAAGTTACACTAATTTTTTTATAATTTTTTTAAAATCACTTTCAATTTAATTCATATATATAAGCTATCATGCTTCCCATAATAAATGTCTTTGATTTTATTTTATTTTTTTAAATTCAAAAACCAATTTATTTTGACAAAATCATATTTAAACCCTTCTAATTAATTAACCGTATATTTATTTATGGTTGGTTTCTCCAATATAAAAATTATATGCATGTGAAAAATTAACTTCTAACATGCTAACCCTCCTAAAGCATTGTGTATTGGCCAGCAATTACAAAATTAGTATTATTTAATTATTTTTTTTCTTCAATTTCAACAAGCAAATATCTCTAACTATTCACCATTTTAGGATTCATGAAAAACTAATAAACACAATTTTTGGTTTGTCAAACATCTTTTCATATTTACATCGATTAATGTATATTTTCTTTTTTTTTTTTAATGCCAACTCTTATAGTCGTTTGAATCTATATAGAGCAGTCATTATAGTTTGACTGATTTGCTGATCACTAAGTTTCATACTTTCATGGAAATATTATACTTAATTATTAATTTTTGGGGTCTCCCTATTAAATTTTTTAATATGTTATGACTGATATTGTTAAATGTTATTGCTCTTTGATTGCTTGAGAGTTGCAACTAACTATCAAGTTTTTTTTTTCTTCTTTTAGTATTATTGTTTGCAATGTGGATTGATTAA